CTTGCCTGGTTGTTTGCCTGTTTGTTTACCCGCTTGTTTGCTTGTTTGCTTGCTTGCTTGCTTGCGTGTTTGCTTGTTTGCTTGATTGTTTGTTCGTTTGTTTACCTGCTTGCTTGCTTGCTTGCTTGCTTGCTTGCTTGCGTGTTTGCTTGTTTGCCTGATTTTTTTTTTCCGTTTGTTTACCTGCTTGCTTGCTTGCTTGCTTGCTTGCTTGCTTGCTTGCTTGCTTGCTTGCTTGCTTGCTTGCTTGCTTGCTTGCTTCCGTATATGTTTGCCTGTTTGTTTGTTCGTTTGTTTACCTCCTTGCTTGCTTGTGTGTTTGATTGTTTGCTTGTTTGTTTGTTCGTTTTTTTTACCTTCTTGCTGGCTTGCTTGCTTGCGTGTTTGATTGTTTGCCTGTTTGTTTGTTTGTTTCCCTGCTTGCTTGCTTGCTTGCGTGATTGATTGTTTGCCGTTTGTTTGCTCGTTGGTTTCCCTGCTTGCTTGCTTGCTTGCTTGCTTGCTTGCTTGCGTGTTTGTTTGCTTTTTTGCCTGTTTGTATGTTTGTTTGTTTACCTGCTTGCTTGCTTGCTTGCTTGCTTGCTTGCTTGCTTGCTTGCTTTCTTTCTTGCTTATTTGTTTGCTTGCATGTTTGTTTGTTTGTTTGTTTGTTTGTTTGTTTACCTCCTTGCTTGCTTGTTTGCGTGTTTGATTGTTTGTTTGTTTGTTTGTTTACCTGCTTGCTTGCTTGCTTGCTTGCTTGCTTGCGTGTTTGTTTGCCTGTTTGTTTGTGCGTTTGTTTGCCTGCTTGCTTGCTTGCTTGCGTGTTTGCTTGTTTGCCTGATTGTTCGTTTGTTTGTTTACCTGCTTGCTTGCTTGCTTGCTGGCTTGCTTGCTTGCGTGTTTGTTCGCCTGTTTATATGTTCGTTTGTTTACCTGCTTGCTTGCTTGCTTGCTTGCTTGCTTGCTTGCTTGCTTGCATTGTTTGCCTGATTGACTCTTCGTTTGTTTACCCGCTTGTTTGCTTGTTTGCTTGTTTGCTTGTTTGCTTGCTTGCTTGCGTGCGTGCGTGCTTGTTTGCCTATTTGTTTGTTTGATTGTTTACCTGCTTGCTTGCTTGCTTGTTTTCTTGTTTGCCTGATTGTTTGTTCGTGTGTTTACCTGCTTGCTTGCTTGCTTGCTTGCTGGCTTGCTTGCGTGTTTGTTTGCTTGCTTGTTGTTTCTTCGCTTGCTTACCTGCTTGCTTGCTTGCTTGCTTGCTTGCTTTCTTGCTTGCTTGCTTGCTTGCTTGCTTGCTTGCTTGCTTGCGTGCTTGCGTGTTTGCTTGCTTGGCTCATTGTTCGTTTGTTTGTTCACCTGCTTGCTTGCTTGCTTGCTTGCTTGTTTGCTTCTTTGCCTGATTGTTTGTTCGTTTGTTTACCAGCTTGCTTGCTTGCTTGCTTGCTTGCTTGCTTGCGTGCTTGCTTGCTTGCTTGCTTCCTTGCTTGCTTGCTTGCTTGCTTGCTTGCTTGCTTGCGTGTTTGCGTGTTTGCCTGATTGTTTGTTCGTTTGTTTACCTGCTTGCTTCCTTGTTTGCCTGTTTGTTTGTTCGATTGTTTACCTGCTTGCCTGCTTGCTTGTTTGCCTGTTTGATCGTTTGTTTGTCTGCTTGCTTGCTTGCTTGCTTGCTTGCTTGCTTGCTTGTTTGCTTGCTTGCTTGCTTGCTTGCTTGCTTGCTTGCTTGCTTGCTTGCTTGCTTGCTTGCTTGCTTGCTTGCGTGTTTGATTGCTTGCTTGCTTGCTTGCTTGCGTGTTTGATTGCTTGCTTGCTTGCTTGCTTGCGTGTTTGATTGCTTGCTTGCCTGTTTGCCTGTTTGTTTGTTCGTTTGTTTACCCGCTTGCTTGCTTTTGCTTGCTTGCCTGCCTGTTTTTGTTTGTTCGTTTGTTTACCTGCTTGCTTGCTCGCTTGTTTGTTCGCTTGCTTGCTTGCTTGCTTGCTTGCTTGCTTGCTTGCTTGCTTGCTTGCTTGCTTGCCTGATTGTATGCTCGTTTGTTTACCCGCTTGTTAGCTTGCTTGCGTGTTTGCTGGTTTGCCTGTTTGTTTGTTCGTTTGTTTACCTGCTTGCTTGCTTGCTTGCTTGCTTGCTTGTTTGCCTGTTTGTTTGTGTTTTTTGTTTACCTGCTTGCTTGCTTGCTTGCTTGCTTGCTTGCTTGCTTGTTTGCCTGATTGTTTGTTCGTTTGTTTACCCGCTTGCTTGCTTGCTGGCTTGCTTGCTTGCTTGCTTGCTTGCATGTTTGTTTGTTCGTTTGTTTACCTGCTTGCTTGTCTGTTTCTTCGCTTGCTTACCTGCTTGCTTGCTGGCTTGTTTGCCTGTTTGCTTGCTTGCTTGCTTGCTTGCTTGCAAGTTTGATTGTTTGTTCGTTTGTTTACTTGCTTGCTTGCGTGCTTGCTGGCTAGCTAGCTTGCTTGCTTGCTTGCTTGCGAGCTTGATTGTTTGCCTGATTGTTTGTTTGCTTGTTTTCCTCTTTGTTCGTTGGTGTGTATGTTTACCTGCTTGCTTGCTTGCTTGCTTGCTTGCTTGCTTGCTTGCTTGCTTGCTTGCTTGCTTGTTTGCCTGTTTGTTCGTTTGTTTGTTTACCTGCTTGCTGGCTGGCTTGCTTGCTTGCCTGTTTGTTTGTTCGTTTGTTTAACTGCTTGCTTGCTTGCTTGTTTGCCTGATTGTTTGTGTGTTTACCCGCTTGCTTGTTTGCCTGTTTGTTCGTTTTTGTTTGTTTACCTGCTTGCTTGCGTGTTTGCTTGTTTGCCTGGTCATTCGTTTGTTTGTTTATCGCTTGCCTGCTTGCTTGCTTGCTTGCTTGCTTGCTTGCTTGCTTGCTTGCTTGCTTGCTTGCTTGCTTGCTTGCTTGCGTGTTTGCTTGTTTTCCTCTTTGTTCGTTTGTTTGTTTACCTGCTTGCCTGCTTGCGTGCTTGCTTGTTTGTTCGTTTGTTTGTTTACCTGCTTGCTTGTTTGTTTGCTTGTTTTGCTGTTTGTTTGTTTGTTTGTTTGTTTGTTTGTTTGTTTGTCTGTTTACCTTCTGGCTTGCTTGCTTGTTTGCCTGTTTGTTCGTTTGTTTGTTTTCCTGCTTGCTTGCTTGCTTGTTTGCTTGCTTTCTTGTTTGCCTGTTTGTTCGTTTGCTTGCTTGCTTGCTTGCCTGTTTGCTTGTTTGCCTGTCCATTCGTTTGTTTTTTTACCTGCTTGTTTGCTTGCTTGCTTGTTTGTTCGCTTGCTTGTTTACCGGCTTGCTTGCTTGCTTGTTTGCCTGTTTGTTCGTTTGTTTGTTTACCTGCTTGCTTGCTTGATTGCTTGTTTGCCTGTTTGTTCGTTTGTTTGTTTACCTGCTTGCTTGCTTGCTTGCTTGCTTGTTTGCCTGTTTGTTTGCTTGCTCGCTTGCTTGCTTGCTTGCTGGCTTGCTGGCTTGCTTAGTTTTTTGTTGTTCCTTTGTTTGCTTGGTTTGTTTGTTTGCTTGTTTTGTTTGTTTGCTTGTGTCTTTGTTTTTTTTTCTTGCTCGCTTGTTTCTTGCTTTGTCTGTCTGTCTGTCTGTTTGTCTTTTTTCTTGCTTGCTTGCTTGCTTGCTTGCTTGTGTTTTTGTTCATTGTTCGGCTGTGCGACCATTTGGCCAGCATGTTGTCGGCTTGACTCACTGGTTTTGACAATGCGCCAGGCGGAGGTCGGGAGCGGGAAAGTGGTTACAGCCATTCCAGAACCAGAAGCAGCTACCACGAAAGCCGCAAGGAAGCAGAAGAGGAGGCCGAAATCGGACAATGGGGGGACTGCTGAGTCCAGATCCGGATCGGAGCTTGCGGCAGATGCGTCAAGTACCTGTGTCTTGAAGAACGGCGTGAGTTGTGCATATAAAATAGTGTGGCCAGTAGCTGGTGACGTGTCATGCTTACGTAGGACTGTTTTGAGATTAGCGCAGTATGAGAATCCCGCCAAAATCTGAACTATATAGTAAAGCATTGCACAATCCCCGCATCAGAAGGGTCTCAGTGTTTCTGCGTTTTTTTTGGACTACCCCTTGAACGACTGAAGAAAGCTGAGAACCACGCTGAACAGATAGAGAAGACAGCGGAATGACAAACAATGCCACAAGACCCAAGAGAACTAAAGACACGTGTTGAACCGCAGGAGCCTGCCAGTTGGGTGAGTGCCTACCGCCAGACATGTGCAAAACATGGCTCATTTAGTCAACAAGCGGACGCTGGCAGCGGCACTTTGCGCGAAGATCGCGTTGCCGCTTCCTGCATGGCCCAATTGAAATGCAGATATGTTTCGAATGTGAAGCTTCAGAATACTTGAGCGCCAATTTCCACTATGCACTATGCTTGAGTCAGAGACTCTGCAAACCCCCCAGTTGAGAATGAGATAGGCCCTGATACCCCTGTTGTTGGCCAGCCTAATGTGTTGGTTGCTGCTATCTTCTCGCACCGGATGCGTGCTTAGTACTTGATTTAGATGTATATTCTGATAACTTTATGCTATATGATATGAACTGATTCTTTTGCACTATTTATGTAACCGAAACTCTGACCACACTTTCATGGCTCATTGCTCGACATCACTAGGCTATACCTCACGCGGTTCCTTTGCATGGCTATTCGTTGTTGTAAAGGCAAACCACCAGCTGTAGCACAGCTCCTTGCTGCCCTGAACACAGACATCGGCGTATCATTCAATCTACCAGTTGTCAAACGTGCTGTAGTCACACGCACCAATCTTATGATTACGGATCTGCGGCGCAGCATGGCATCAAGCTCTGCTCTTCAACAGGCATTTATGAGATGATGTTTCCGCAGTTATGCATCCAGTTAGTCTTGTCGAGGTTGTTTGAACCGAAGGATTGGTTCACACACACACAAAGCGATTCTGAAAAAGACGGTGCTTCTCAGACAAACGCGTGACATGAAAACACAGAAGCCCAGACCTTCAGATTTGCGATCGGATTTTTCAGGCCAGATGGCCCTCTTACTCGCAGTCCACCTGGTCCTCGCTTGATGAGAAGGTACGGTGAGAGAGCACGTTATGACATGACTGCGAGGTTTTCGCATGTCTTGCAAGGCTCCACATTGTTCCTGTCCGCATTGGCAGTTGTGCCTGTCAAATGCAAGCAGTTGGCATGTTGCGCACCGGTGATGTGTTTCGCTGCCATACCAGAATACTTAAGTAGCAGCAGAGAAGTATGCATTGTGACGTAGCGGACTCTTGAAACTGGCAGACCACATCAAGTCACGGTCAATTGGCGGGGGCTTCCCACTTGGAGCACATCCAATGCGGGCAGTATCATTGAGACCAAGCACACACACACACACAGAAACATTCTGCAAATGGCAGAGACACCGGGCAGCGAAGACGAGACTATTCAGGACGCTGCACGGCTGTACGATGAGCGCTTGCCAGTTGGTATAGGTGTGCTGCTTCTCTTTTTTGCGAGATTTTCATTTGGCCATTTGCTCCTTGACGGCTTTGGCGCCTTCCATGAACCAAACAAAGGCCATGAGCCCCAAAAATGAGACCCCCGCACGTGGGATCTGTCTCCATGTTTGAAGCTCTGACGCATTCCAAATGCGACCAGCCATTTCAGGCAAGGAACCCACAAATTCAGCAGCCAGGGCTTTTGGAGGCAAAACATGAGCAAGAACTCTGTGAATTGCTCCTTGCAGCAGTCTGCTATTACGGAAGCCATGAGCGTGACCCAGAAGATGTTTTGACCATGGCAGATACCGTGGCCCTTGCTTTGACCGCTTTTATTGAGGCGCGGAAAGAAGACACCTTGCAAGGTCTACGCACATTTTCACTGGGAGTTTCCCTGGGATCATTATTTTGATGGTTTCTGGTGGTCATCAAAGTCACAAAATCGGGGTGTTTCCCTTGAACCGACCACTTGCGGGGTGACTTGGATCATGGCAAAGTAGCGAGGCCGGTGTCCGGTAGATCCGCACCCGGCCCGTGCTTTCCGTCCGGCGAGGAGGCAAAGGATGAGCTGGCCCAGAAAGTGGTGCAGCTCACCAAGGCTCCGGCAGATTCTTTTCCTTTCGGCTGCAACGTTTCACAGGTCACAGTGGGCCATCAGGTTGTTGACATAATGTCCAGGGGCGATTGAAGTTTGTCAGAAAATGGGGGTTGTTTGTTTGTGTGTTCGTTTGTTTGTGTGTTTGCTTAGTTTGGCTTGCTTGTTTGCTTCCCTTTCACCTTGGGTGACTCTGCTCGTTTGTTTCCCCAGGAACCCCAGGCACCTGCGGAGAGTCGCCTGGCGCGAGGCCATCGTCTTTCTCTACAACCGCAGCGACGGCCATGAGGCGCGCTGCGCGGCGCTGAGGGAAGCCACGGAAGCTGAGGCGCGGCCGTGGCTCGGGCGTGTTCGTCGAATGGCATGGCCGGTCAAAACCCAGGAAAATTGTGGTGAACATCAAAATAGGTGGCAAGTGGACCAAATGGATGTTCCACCCCAAAATGGGATCGCCATAGGTTATGCCCCATGGCCACATCCCTTGGGTTCCGACAGGATTTGGGGTCCAAATTTGGGTGTCTCCTTGTTTAGGGACCCCTGCAGAATGGTGGGTTTCCCTTTGGTTTCCCGAGAAAGCCACAAGAAAGGGGGTGACCTCAAAAAAAGACCCATTTGGTGATGGAAGATGATTGCCCACTCCGTTTGAACAGCTCGGCGGAGCAGTGCAAGGATTGCACGAATGCGAAAACACCCTCAAAGCGACAGGGTCCACAAAATCGATACCTACAAAGCAATGTCCAGGATTTTGACCGGAAGGCATGCCATATATAGCTTGCTTTTGCCAAACTGGAATCTTTGACAATCCTGTCCTGTGGAGATTGACCAAGAACATATTTATATGTTAGAGAGTATCTTTTGGGCCAAATAATCAGCACTTTCGGAGGGGGGGGGGTTCTGGGGAGGGGGATACACCATACAAATAATATATTACACATATTTTTAAATAGGTGCAACGCTTAGAAAGAGCTGCAGACTTGCCTTTTCCTAAAATCCTGCATGCGCTCTAGAACTCTCAAAGCCCCTCATTTGGTGAAGAAGCACACGACTCGTCAGACTTGCAATATGCCAGACATCCAAACAGCCAGTTTGACGTTGACAGAGGTTTCCCAGCCACAAGGACTTGCGCCAATGCCACAGATTGTCAGCCGTTTTTGACTTGAACCAAATGTCACATGTTTATCAAGCGCAAGTGTCGCTGAGCCAGCAAGTTCCTGGCATGGCCTTAGATGCACATGTGGAATGCCCTCAAGGCTCAAGGGGAAGGCCGATGAACATTGTCTGGAACATTGAACGAGTGCAAGATGTAGACAACTCTTCTTCTTTGCAACGCATGAAACCACATGAATACTCAGAAATGCCATAGTTGTCTGGAGTGTCTCGGAAAAGAAATGCATACAGTTTGGAAAGATGCTTTGTATCATGCTGTACGCATGTTGCTCAGAAGATTCTGGAAATTGACCGCAAATCTTGGTACCCGGCGCGGCTGGGTAGTGTCTTTCAGACGCTGGCATGAGGCATAGGGTTCATAAATACAACGCAGGATCGCATGCCCATCGCTGGATCTTTGCGATGTCATTCTTGCACGTTAATTTCGTAGTTTGCTCATTTATGTGCTGCGTTTTGTGTTTTTCTTTTTTGAATACCACCGGCTACTCCGACAAGAGTCTGCTGGGGCCTTTTGACGAAGTGCGCCAAAGGAGCGAAAAGTGGTCCTTACCATGACAAACAACACCTTGCAATGGCACAAATTGAGTGCCCAAGACTTGAAGGTTTTCACCACAATGCACAGAACGGCAGTGTCCGATGGGGAAAGTGTGCAGCTCACGTAGGCTTTTGAAGCGCGAAGGGTGAAAGGGCGATGGCGCCCATGCCGCCAGGCGCAGCAGGTCTCAGCGTGGGTGGCTCTGCAACTGCAGCGCCATCGCCAAGCAGTGACCCAGGCAAGCAGCAGGCGGGGAAAAGGTTCGGCAAGCCTGGGCACCTGCGGTTTTGAGAGCCGGAACGAGAAATTCCACCCAACTTTGGACGCGAGGTATCCATAGATGTTGTCTCATTTCACGTTGTGTGGCCGTTGCAACACATGACAGCAGAGATGCCCCACCCCACCCCACTACCCGACCCCCACCCCACCCCACCCCACCCCACCCCACCCCACCCCACCCCACCCCACCCCACCCCACCCCACCCCACCCCACCCCACCCCACCCCACCCCACCCCACCCCACCCCACCCCACCCCACCCCACCCCACCCCACCCCACCCCACCCCACCCCACCCCCCCCACCCCACCCCACCCCACCCCACCCCACCCCACCCCACCCCACCCCACCCCACCCCACCCCACCCCACCCCACCCCACCCCACCCCACCCCACCCCACCCCACCCCCCACCCACTTCCTTTCCCCCAGTCGCCTTCGTTTCATTCGAAGCCGAGGCTCACGGGCCGTGTGGAGGAGCTGGAGCGCCGCTACGCGGCGCGGGTGCGGGAGGCGCGCGGCGCCGCAGACGTGCTGCGCAGCGCCGGCCAGAAGGCCCAGCAGGCGCCTCGGCGCGCGCTGGGGGGGGGGATCCACTGCGAGCGCATCCATAGGCGTGTGCCTCAAGAAAATTAGGCAGGTTTTAATCTTTGGTTCCATTTGCCAAGGGGGCCACTTGGGTACTTTTTCTTGAGCCACAGCCATAGAATCCCCATTGAATCAGCAGAGGATTCCCTTGAAAAGAAGGCAATATGCCACGACATGAGCGACCAGACTTGCCGGCTGTGAGTTTAAATCACCCTCAAACTAGGCGGCCCCTTTTGGTGGCAACAGAACTCGTCTTCAAAAGTTGGAAGTGCGCTTCGTGTGCTAGGCCTGACAGAGCTGTGGACTTGCACTTCGCACACTACTTTGGCTCCGAGTTGCGACTTTTGAGCTTGAGTTGGCGACAACCAGCGCCAAAGGTACTTTGTTCTCCCAACCGTTTTGGGCCACGAAGCTCATATCCCCCCTTCCTCGGGCTCTTTTGATGAATCCACTCAGTGGCTCCCGCCCCCCCAGCCGGAGGACTCGGAGACCTCGGCCGGCGCCTGGGCGGCCTCGAGGACCGGCGCCACGGCCGTTCTGCGGAAAGAGGCGGAGGAGCTCCGAGAGCGGCTTAAGGTCCAGGAGGCGATCTCAGCGAGCCGCGCGCCGCAAGCCGCGTCCTCGTTCAAAACCGAGTCGGGTAGATGAAGGGGTAGGGATTATCCCAAATGGGGAAGCCGCCTTTATGTTTCTTTGCATGGTTTTGATGATGACTCAATTTGGAGCAGCGCAGATTCTGCCCTTCCAAACGTTTCTTTTTTGGCCTGATTCTGATGAGATGCTCTGAGATGTCCACTGCAAACGTTGAAACTGGCTGAGCAACGCTTGACTTCCAACCCTTCAAGCCTTGATTGTCTCTGTGGCACAAGATGCTAGGACAGAGACAATCGATCGGTCTGTGTTGCCTCAGCAGTTGCACCGGGCTGGCTGTCGTGCGGTGTGTGTGTGTGTGTGTGTGCCAAAACTCGGGACCCTTCAGAATGGCCGGTTTGCTTCGGGTTGTCACTCCCTGTCAACAGCCATGAGTCACGCGTGGCAGGCGCGTGCCGGTTGCGATGAGCATCTGCTTGCGCGGCAAATTGCTGCAGAGACGCAGCGGGAACGATTGGCCCTGGAGAGGAGGCGGCTCGACTGCCCCGCTACCGTGGATGTTTTGAAGCTTCCAGAAGCCATGTTTCAAATTTTGACCCCGAGTAAACCCGTATTCATAGCGGGCTGTTCCCTGCAAAAGTGAGGGATCCCCGCAAAAAGGGGAACCCCCTATGAATCAACCAGGAGTCTCTAAAATCGGAGTTCCCATTAGACGTAAGCTGGACAAGTCATGAGGAAGGCCGTCCAAGCATTTGCTTTGGCCGAGCTAAAACATCCGGGTTTTTCAAGGGTCCCAGTCCCTGGCACCCTGGTTTTGGCGGTTAGAATGGGCTCAGAAA